CAGAATTTACAACTCAATAAAAGGCACAAAAGGATCCATATCAATCATCCATCCATGTTCAATATTCAGATTTAATGTTGAACTTGTACTGCTGGCAGTCGACGTGAGGTAACATGCTTTTGACTTTCAACTTTCAAACCAGGCATCTGCCCCCCCTCTCTTTTCATAGCACGGTAATCCAGCACAGGTTCACTTAATGTTTTTTCTTTATTTTCGTGACTATTTGCATTGTAGATTCTCACTGAAGGCATCAAAACTATCAATGAACACATATGGAATTATGTAGTAAACAATTACTGCTTTTCATACTCTTGGCATTAGAAATAGTTATGATTCGGTCATCGTCATGTCAATTTGGTGTAATGAGATAACTGTGAAAACTTGGCTTGGTTATACAACACTTCTTCTCATGAACCTAACATCAGCATACATTACTTCCTGGTCTTCTCTGCAGAGAAGCAAGATAACATCATAACATATTTTCCATTGCAGACAGGAAAGCACACAGACTGGAGTAGACTAGACTAGACTTCACTTCACTTGGATGGATTTTGTTACCTTTGCACAGAGCTATTTTGTTTTTCATTGTTATGTTAAAGCTAGCAAGTTAGCTAACAAATTTAGCTGAAATATGATGAAAAGATCAAGAAACTTTTAGTAAGAAAATATTTTTGTATATGTATAAAAAGTACCTAAATTACCTCCTTGACAATTGCTTGTAATGTTTTCCAAGGGAATAATAATAACAATGATAATATTCTGTCATTAGTTTGGGATCTGGGTGTATCACATGTTAACTATGTGTCAGCTCTCTTGTTCTGACTTTTTTGTATGTGACATTTCAAAGCCTGAAATGTACTGCCATTATTTTGAGACTCATCACAGTTTTAAGCCATGTATCAGTTTAAAAAATGTTCAGGAGGTTTTGTTTGTGAAACTGATGATTTGATGCTTTGTCATTCACAGCTTCAAAGTGGGAAAGGAAGTAGATTCATATCTTCTTAATTGCAGAAGTGGACATACAGGGTGATGAAGTACATTCAGACAGTGCTGCTGTTTCACACTTTTCTGAAGCTAAGCTAAATTTCTCATATGAGCCTCTTCTCATTTAATTTCCTCTGGTTCAGTTACTTCACCCAACACTGCTGCTGTTTTTGCTACAGTTAGTTGTTAGCCTCTGTTAAGTGCTGTTAGCCAGTGTTAGGGAAACTTTCCTTGAAGTCGATCTAACATTTTAACTTTCATATGATGTGAGAAATCAGGTGGCAAAATGTTGGCTTATAACCAGAGGTTATTGTTTAGCCGACTTGATGTCAGCTGTCCTGAGTTTGGAGGATGGCACATCTAATCCTGACAATAAGTCAGTCATGTTTTCACTTCTTTAGTGAAAGGGACCCATTCTCAGTTGATAAAACATAAAGGTATGATCCTTCATATGTTATGTTTGAAGGTGCAGACACTAATTAAAATTTGCCTGCACATGCATAAAGGTGATTAGGCAATATCCATCTCAGCCCCTGGATTCAAGGTGGCAGGGCAACATGTCAGCCTTCACAAATCAGCCTGCTCCTATTTAAGTAGTTTTAATGGGCAAATTCTGAGTTCACAAATATACTTTGGTTTGTTGTAGTGTTTGCTCCTGTAAGCATTATTGTATTCAAATATGTGCATGTCCTTTTTAGACACAATTTCATTTATGTACAAGCAACAGTAATACCTCCGTAAACCAGTAGAGGGAAACTTTACATCTCTTTATACTGATGATGAATCTTGTTCACGTCTCAGCTTTCATTAACAAAACAGTGTGTGATCAAAACGCCAGAGCATGTGACAACGCATACAAGGAGAATTACCTGAAAGGTTTTGGATTTT